GCTTCCCTACCTCAACTCGGATTCCCCCCCTCCCTTTTGTTAATCGGTTAGTTTTGGCTTCGTATACCAACTTGTATAGCGACCCACATCAGGGTTTCGTGAGCTTCTGAGACCACACCCCAACGAAAGGCATACAGTCACAAAAATATTGCAGAACATCGGCAGAATGTTTGCGCCACGTGCATATTGTGCGCGAATCAAATGAATCATTATGAAGTGGGGCAAAGATTCAAGACTATTATTTGCATGTACAGATGCTAGTGAAGAATAACTGTGGAGGGACCACTTCAAGAGAGAACGAGACGCTTTCCAGACCACTGAGAAAAAACATCACTAGTCAGTACTTGAAAAAACCGTGTGAAACTTCAAGCTCCATCTCTCAACAAGTAACCATTCTCTTCTCACTAATATTGCTTAGTAAGCCATCGTTTGCGAAAAAACGAAAGAAAGCAGTACGATTAGCAGTATTTCATGAAAACTCACTTTCAATCAATAGAATGCGCAAAAAATGACATATAACTTCATCGAGGATTGAAGGTACCTGTCTCTCTCTGTGATGGTAAGTTTCTTCATATCAGGGTATACAAGTCACTCCATGGGTTTTGAACTGTCCATCACCAATCGATCTCGACACTTCAATTATTCCATTGACACGTCCATCTCTGAAAAGTAGAAGAGGGGTTGCAAAACGGTACAGAGAGTACTTTGAAAGGTTCGTACCTGACTGTACCACCCGCCTTTTGTATGCGCATTCTCTCCTCATACATGGTTGGGTTGTGATTCACCGTGAGCTCTATGTGAGAAAACCCACCTTCCTTACTGCGACATACAATCGCCTGAAATGAAGGTTATCTCTACAACAAAAAGTGAAGTATGCTAAACAGGTTTTTTCATATACGACCAGCCGGGAATGTTCGATTCATTTGCAAGTTAAAGAAGCTACGCCGCTTACGCGAAGAACGGCGTCGTTAGCTATACTACGAACCCACAGGTTGTGATTGGAACTAAACACCAGATGGGGCTAGTATAGGCAGTCAGTTGAAAAGCAGTTTCTTGTCCCTCCCTAAACCTATTATCCCCTTCAGTACATCAACCTCATATTTGGCTCCCAAAACTCCAAACACAGACGGCTAAATTTATACTATGTACACTAACAGCGCCGCACTTACGACCGACACCTATGAAAGATATCCCACCACTCTTATGGAAACAAGCCAGATCGTATTCATGTGCTGCGATGCCAGACAAAGCAGGCACTCTTGTAGTTCGTGCACTCAACCAGAAATGTCTACTAGGTAATGTATCTGATAAACGGTCCCAAGCAAAGCTAGGACGGTGAGATATGGTGGACCACGGCGAAGTCAGCGTTTTGCGAAACTTCCACTTTGAAGAAAACTTTTCTACAAACAAATAAATGAAGTGGAGACTTTATTTCTCCTGTATGCTAAGGCAAGAATGCAGCTTTTTAGCGCACACAATCTGGCGGAAGCAGCCATTTCCATCTCAGGTCTGATATTATTCAAGTTACAATAAAATCCTTTTACATGCTCATTCGATGGTTTCAGTGTTGAAATGATTATCTCTTTTACGTAGATAAGAGATTAACCGCCTGCACTAATCGGAATTCTTTTTGAGACGCACCACGCACGTACAATCAACACTTGGCGCTTTTTGAATGTAAGGAAAAAGAGTAATCAGTGAGTAATTCAACGATTTTCCTCTTCAGAAACGTGTAGAAAACAAGTCATCAGAATAAGTTATCACCAGAAAATAGAGATAGAAGGCTTCGGGTACTTCAGCGAGCCAGGATCACCGGATCCTGCACGTGTGGCCGTATCTGATTCCCCTCCCCCTTCGTACCACTTAGGGAGATGTGCATAAAAATGTTCTTCACTTCAGCTAACCGGTACCAATATGGAGCCACGTAGAGGCAAAGGCGTGAGAGTCGAAAGAACTCACTTGAAACAACAAACTAGACTACCTATGAGGAAAATTACATTTTATTCTCCAGACACCGCGCGCTAACAACTTCGAAAAGCGCTTCTCCAGCGGGGGTCTGTGTCTTTAGTTCAAGATTCACACTTCTGCCTACTTCACACCTCTGCCTCGCACCTCGGCAGGCTTGCCAGTGGCATACCCTCGCTTAATTGGTTGAGGTGCCCTGTGACCTTCCCCTAACGATGCCAATTACATCGAAATAGATGAAATAAAGTTTATCGGGGCAGGCTCACAATAGTAATAGTAATGAAATAACTATATAACTATATA